ATCAGTCATAAGTAAATTCCCCAAAGCTTCCCCCCTCCCTTCCACGCCTCCCTCAAACTCCCGGCTGGGGTGATGTCATGGAAAAAGGGAATACTGCTTTTCTTTTCTCTAAGGATATTGAACATGCTCTTGGCCTTGTCCACAATGAAGCCTCCTCACACTGCTTGGACTTGTATCCAGCTGTCTTTATTAGGAACAACTCGAAAACCAAACAGTTGTTAAATCCGGATGCTTGATGAAAAAAGTGTACAAGCTTATAAATCATAAAAGCGCTGCTTTTTAGAAAGTTTTTTCATGGTTGCAGCCCACCTGGGGATGCAGGTTTGAATCCAGCTTGCTATTTCCTTTTGCTGTTTTCTTGCGACATTTTAAGGTGTTTAAGTTATACATTCCCTTCGAATCGAACCCATGATCTTGGTGTTGCAAGCACCCATGTTCTACTGTTTGAAATGTTTCCTTTGAAATTTTGGTAAAATTTTATAATGAGGTTCAAAATAAGGTTCAGTTTGTTAACATCATGATCACCTAATGCATTAACTAAAAATTAAAAATATCTAAACAGCATTTACTACCATGTTTTTAAGTATGTATAAGTCACTTTTTTATCATCTAAAATGTGCTACGACTTATATAATGCAATTATAAATTAACAATTTGTATTAATTTTAATTGTTGATTTGTGCAGTGCGAGAGAGTTTCATAAGCCCATGAGTATATTTGTATAGCGCATGTTCTCAGATGTTCTCAGATATCAGTAGTTTCAGTTTTTCTTTTAATTAATTAGTTTAGGTTTGGCATTTATAAGAAATGTTTTTTAAAAATGCATGCCACTATAATTTATGTTTGTTTTATATCTTACATTTTTCATTCTGTTCTGTTCTGAATGCTGTTAAATTTAAAGGATGTTTAACAGCGTTTACAATGTTTGTAAACATTGCTTTATTTATTGGGATTTTACATTATTTCTAAATGTAATAATAAAATGTGATGTGACTTATCTGTGTTTTTTTTCTTCTCTCAATGCAACTGTTGACTTAATAGTCAGGTGCGACTTAATTTCTGGAAAATAAGGTAATCTAGGTTAATGTTAATTTCTACATATTAATGCATTTTCAACCTGTCGAAATATAAATGAACATGAAAGTTAGGCTAGATTAATAAATAGTTGCTCATTGTTAGTGTTTTAACTAATGTTAACAAATTGAACCTTATTTAAAGAAGTTTCACAAAGTTAAATGAATGCCAAAAAGGATATATCTTTCCTAACAGACACCTGTTTGTTCCCATGACCACAGTGTTTTTTTCCTTCAGGCATTTCCTTCTAAATAAATTGGCTGATGTTCATGGGGGGTTTCTTGGGTCACTGTGGCAAACCTGTCACCTCCTACGCTGGTGTACGTGTAGCATTCCTTAGCCTTGCACTTGCCGTCACCTTCGTTATTTCATCGTCCATAACAACTGTTTGAGATTTAATTTATCTGAGCGGACCCACCATAGATCCATAAAAGTCAAGATCCTGGTCCCCAGTCCTGCTGCTCTCCAGGTCTGCCAGCGCTGTGTGGTTAATTAGCAGCCGTCCCTATAGCAACTGCCTTTCATTTCAAAACAATATGTCGTTTTTTCCTCGTGTCGTGGCTCAGCTCATCTCACTGTTTACCTGAGGGGGCTCTTTAGCCTCACAGAGGCATGAAAACTGGACTCAAGCCAAAGAGTTCAAGTTTTTGCTATAGATGGTACGAAACGCTGTGGCAGCTGCCATGTGGTATCACAGGTGAACAAAACACTTGTTTTTCCCATAAATCTTTTCTTTCCTCTCACAGATGTCTTTTTTAGTGTAAATTTGGCTGTTTGTTGCATGATATTTCTCTCTTTTTTCCCCCTTTGTGAGATTAGTGCCCTCCGTGTCGACTCTGATATCTAGTCGCTAGTACTTATTTTAGGCAGAGAAAGCATGCCATAAGTAGATTTGACAGTCCCCCACTGGGTTCGATGAAAGAAAGATCTAATCACAGTGGTTTCACTTCTGAGGGGATATACTGAGGACTTAACATAATCTCAGCCAATTAATATTTCTCAAGTGTTATATATTCCGATATCCATATCCACCTTAACAAATGTATTGTATCATTTTCAAGCACAACTAACATACTTGGCCATTCTGTGGTCATATATATTTTAGTATAATGACCGCTAAACAGTAAAATTGAATGTCGTCTAATAGCTATGCCAGGTTTTAATGTCAATAGTCTCTTTCCTGTTGCAAAATAAACGTATTCAATCTTAAATGATCATTTTGTGTATATTTTTTTAATTATTTTTCATTTTATATTTTATTTTATTATTTTGTAAGTAGCCACACTGTCTGTTACCACTGATTTGCATGTGTGCACCTATTTTCATTCTGAAAATTTTATTTTTTAAGTATTTCTGTCAGATGTTCGTACAACATTTAGCACATTTAGCATGTTTTTACGACTTCTATAATTTGAAATATATGTGAAACTGCTTAAAGATGTTTATAGTATGTTTGTAAAAAAAAATATCAAGCCTAAAATTAATGCTATTCAGTTGCTGGGGCATTTCAGTGCCTTATTTGTTCTTGCTGGGTTGGTTAAAGTGCAAAATACCTTTTATTTTATTTTATTTAAAGGACATTTTGTGTGCAGCTCTATTCATGCAAAAAGAGCCTGAATCATTCCTAATTTTACCTTACAGCACCATGTCTTTCTGCATTTCATAATGGCAAATTGTGAGTGTAAAATAATGAATAGACTGGTGTGCTCAGGCAGTGATGGGCTTTGTGAACATAATGTGTGCCTCGGAGGATTGGAAATACTGTGATTTTAAGCTGTGTCTTTAACAATAGGATAACAGACCCGCTCTGAGACTCTAGTGCCAGTTTGGGTTGTATTACGTTCCGCAGGGGAAACTAGTGGTTATGGGAGTTATCGTCATTCTGTTCTGGCTAACTATATGCTGTTGAGTCTCTGCCATCAGCAGAAGTACATGATAGGTGATCCAAAATCACAAAACAAACCCCCACTCTTTTCTTAAGGTATTTTTTCTTTATTTTCAAAGATGAAAGATAAGCAATGGACATACACATTCATTTAAATCAGTTAAAAATCTGGTACATTGAATGCAATGATTATATTTTTAGCCTTTTTGCCTCTCTTTTTATTTATATGAACTAGCAATTCTTATGAATAAATTGAGGTTAGTAAAGTCCATTAGTTTTAGAATAAAATGTATTTATTTATTATTGTATTGTTGTTGTGGTTGTATTTAAGTATTCATAATTATGTAATGTATTGTTTATTTCTTATTTTTAGTTTAGTTTTTTTTAATGATTATTATTTAGTTATGAAACAAATAGCATATTTAATGTAAACATGATACATCCCATAATAATGTGTCCAACTGATGTCAATAAAACTACCTAAAAACAAACCTAATTATTTAGGATTTCCTTAAAACAGATTGGTTAACTAAAACTAGTCGTTCGGGACATAAACCAACTAGCTGCAAATATGTAGTTTTGCACATCCCTAATAGGCGAAAGTAAAGTTAACAAGAAAAGTTGAGGAAGAATAAATGTTGCGAGCCAGATTCAAACTCATGTTACCCACGTCAGCACCACAGCTCAAAAAAATTATGATTATTTTGGATTGAACAGCACACTTTAGTCACCGAACTTGTGTTATAGTCGTATTAGATTTTATCTGCTTTTGATTAAAATCATTGTTAAAATAGTTTTAAAATGATAAATGAGATATACATGTAATACACCCATAAGTGTTTACTCACTGTGCTTAAATATCTGATTATGTTTTAAACCCTTACAAAATCCCTGTTCTGAATGACAAAGCGCCACACTTCCACCTACGGGTATGTTTAGAGTCACACAGAAAGACTTTCTTACATAATGATTAAGGAACAGGAAGCTTGTCAGTGTGAGATGTTGTTTGATGGAAAAGGAGGGATTCAGCTGGGAGATTCTGGTGGGAAACAGGTGTTATCTGAAAGAAGTGTTTGCAAAATCACACAGGACATTGCTTTTCGTGTTTATGGCTGCATTGTGCTCCAGAGGAGGTCCCTAGATGTGGGGCATTTTTTTTTTAAAAGTCTTAACTTTTCAAGGTCTACTAAAGAACTATGTATATTCCCACTTTAAACCTGCACTTTGCGTCTTTTGTGTTGCATAAAATGGGGCCAAGGAGTCATTTTGCCCATTTTCTTTCACAGTGGTACCGAGTTTAATCATGTTTCT